TTTGCGTCCAGAAAACCTTTAACCGAGTCTTGTATATCTTCCACTCTCACTGGAAAACCTTTGTCTTGGCATGTTATGATCCAATTCTTTAAACGATTCTCTTCCTCCAAAGAAAGAATAGGATTGGGGCCAAGGGTAGTTTTTTCATTAAACTTTTCGCTTGCTCTAAACTGCAGTGTTGCTCTTGGCACATTAAATTGTTCAGCGGCTTTTCGTTGGCTCATGCCGTTTTCTATGGCCTCAAAAGCAGACCGAAGGTCTTGTTCTGTATATTTTTTGTGATACGTTTTATCTTTCTGAACATTTGGCATTTTTTAATCTAAAAATAAAAATAATTTAAAAGTAATAATGTTAGCTACAATACGCATAATTCTAATTTTATTTTTAAAATTTGATTTCTATTGCCCACATTGGCACTAATTTTATTAACTTAATCTAGACAAAGAATATATTCTTATTACGCATTACAATTATTGGCCACCCGGTGGTTTAGTGATTGGCAGTCGGCCAACCACTGGTTATTGCCATAAAAATTTAAAAAAAAATGCATTAAATAATCTTGTATTTGACCAATAGGCTAAAACAACCTAAATTATAATAAACGTTTTAATTTAAAGCAGGTACAGTAATTGGCCGGTAGGCCAATCATTATAACGCGTACATATTTAAGACACAGTTGTTGGCCACTAAAAATTACCGCCAAAATTTATAACCTTACTTTTAAAACCACCGATAATGTAAGAAATACCCCCCCTAAATCGCTATGAAACTGTAATATACCAAGATACAAAATACTATTAGCCAAAATAACATACCTGTTTGATAGACTTCCTTAACAAATTCTTTGTAAAACTCTTAAAACTGGATGCACCTGTTAAGCTTCGAACAATACGCGCCGTAACAACAAGATAACTAAAATGAGACAGATGACAGTTAGCCAAATTAAACATCAATGTTGCCAGATTGCAATGTAAATATATTTATTTCCTTATAATTTTTGAAAACCTTAATATTTCGGATTTTTGTAAAAGTGGCCAATCACTAGTGACCGGCCAACAACTGTACCCGTTACCCTATTTTAATGCTGTTGAATCAATTTTTATCAGAGCTAAACCGAAAAACGTTGACTTTTAATCCATGGGACGATTTCAGTGATTGGCACCCCTGTGCCAATAACTGTTTTTACAGTACAATTTAAGACAGTAGTTGGCACCCTATTATTATATTAAATAAAGATCATTTTTTGAGGTTAAGTAGGAAAATAGGTCCAAATAATCAAGCTTTCTTAATTGGTAAAATAAATTTGGGATGGCAATAAGGTTTACATTACGTAAAAGCAATTCACATGCGCCGTGCTTCTTATGAATATAAGAAAAACTCACCTCTTAGACGTAATCACTTCGAACTCACTGCATTCAACTTTGCGCCATTTTTTCTACTACCAACATACGAGGCTAAAATTTCTACTGTGTCTAGACGAAGGTGCCAACATTGGTATAATTCAAAATAAATCAGTTCGCAGACGTCCTAACGCTTATTAAAATTAATATTGACAACGTTGTGCCAATAACTGGCAGAGTGCCGATAACTGTCCTCTTTACCCTATTTGTTGTTTATGTACGTATTTAATAAAATTTTTGCATAATATCACGTGTCTATAATTAGGAAACAACATATAACAATCCTGCGGCTCAAAATAAGTAATTACTAAATGTTTTCGCGTTAAATGAGTACGCACGCGAATCAAATTGCATTTAAACACATAGTATCGCGTTGCAGTGGCCCATCTCCAGTTGTGACGTCACTAAATCAATGTCACGGCTAGATCTATCGGTAGGCTACGGCTACAGTCAAAATCCGGTATAATAATCACATTTCAACTGAAAAACTCTACGTAGTGGAAAATAAATTCACTCCATTAATAGGTCGTGTTTGGATTCGACATTTAAAAATTTTCACTCCAAGAACCTGACTCACAGATTACACCAGTAAATAAGCTATCAGTTCAGCCTGATCCTACAAAATTAATACAGCGTATCGAAGAGAGATTCTCACAAATTTTCGAACAAACAATTGGTATTCTTCCAGCCCACACGAGCTACTTACAGCTTCGACCAAACGCAAAACCAGTTTTTCTAAAGCCTCGCTCATTACCATTCGCTCTTCGAAAACCAGTCGAATCAGAACTTGAAAAATTAGAAAACGATGGTATTATTTCAAAAATTGAAAATTGTGATTGGGCTTCTCCTCTGGTGATTGTACCCAAATCTGATGGTTCGTTGCGACTTTGTGTCGACTACAAGACTACAGTGAATCCTCAGCTGTGTGAAGCACATCACCCAATTCCTCGAATAGACGAAACCTTGCATAAATTAAGAGGAGTTCGATACTTTTGTCAACTAGATTTATTCAAAGCATATATGCATATTCCTGTGGATGACGAAAGCGCTATTATCCAGGCTATTTCTACTCATATCGGAACCTACAGAGTCAACAGGCTGGCACAAGGCATCAAAACCGCACCCAGTATTTTTCACAGCGTTATGGACAAAATTATAAGGAACCTTAAAGGTGTCACAACATACTTCGACGATATAGTCGTATATGGAACTAATTTAGAGGAATGCTACAGTAACCTCATAAGTTGCCTTGAAATCCTCACAGAAAATAACTTGCACATCAACCGGTCAAAATGCAACTTCTTCACCAAGAAAATTACCTACTTAGGATACGTCATTGAACACAACAAAATTTCAAAATGTCCCAGGAAAGTAGCCAGTGTCCTGGAAACACAAAGACCGAAGGACATCGAAGAGGTACGTCGATTTCTAGGTCTTGTAACGTATTATTCAAAATTTATTCCGGACGAATCATCGAAAACATACCCTTTGCGTCAATTATTGCTCAAAAATAAGAAATTCTTTTGGTCATCAAATTGTGAATCTGCTTTCATTCGCCTCAAACAGGAAATCGCCAGTGACCGAGTCCTCACTCCTTATGATCCAGAACTTCCGCTCAGACTCGCCTGTGATGCGAGCCCTTATGGCGTTGCTGCCGTATTATCGCACATTATTCATGGTAATGAACGACCAATCGCATTCATATCACGCTCACTAACTCAAGCTGAATCGCAGTACAGCGAGCTCGACCGTGAAGTTTTGGCTATCGTATTTGGTGTCGGTAAAATGTTCCAGTATCTCTATGGACGCCAATTCGAACTTCAAACTGACAACAGACCGCTCATCCGCATATTCAACCCACAGAATGTACCACCAATGACTGCAGGTCGTCTGTTGCGATATTCTATTTTCCTTAGAGGATTCGACACTAACTCGCTCTGCTCCGACTTCTGCCACAACAATCGAATTTCTACAGGACATATTTTCTACACATGGATTTCCCGTTCTTTTGGTATCTGATAATGCTGCTATTTTTACAAGTTCAGAATTTTCTAATTATTGTGGAAAGTGTGGAATATCTCAACGATTTATCGCCCCTGGACACCCCGCTACGAATGGACAAGTGGTACGGTTCGTTCAAACACTCAAGCATACTCTCAAACCGTGCCTTGAATCATCTTCAATTCCATTACCCATCCTTGTACGAAATATTTTATTCCGATATCGATCCACTCCACTCAATTCTGGAAAGTCACCAGCAGAAATATATTTAAACCGGCGTCTTCGTATCCAGTTGGACGCTCTACGACCACTGAATCAGACACGTACTCAACCTCAAGTGAACATCAAGAGATTTTTTTTAGTGGGGGAGAGAGTCCTAGCCCGCTTAAATGACAAATGGCTTCCAGGTAAAATTAACAAATGTTTCGGATCGTTACACTATGAAGTTACTCTCGACACCGGTTACGTGACGAAGAAACATATAAACCAGCTCGTTAGATCAAATCTTCCAGTGAAACTACCTCCAACGCAATCAACGGGGACAACACCCGTCACTGGGCCAAAACGAGTCACTTTCGACATAGCAGAACCAGATGAACTCCCAGTTGCAGCCAACCCAGTCCAAGTTCCAGTTCCCCAACAAAATAATCCAGATCTACGTCAAGATGAAGCGCCTCCGCCCCAGGTGAGAAACCAAGAGGAGCCACGACGGTCAACCCGCCAGCGGAGGGCACCAGATCGATTAAATTTATAGAATTTATTAAGTGGGGGAGAATTATTATGTATATATTTTGCCCTTCAGGCATGAATGTAAAAGTATAAAATGTGACATGTGCATGCGCACAGGGAGACGAAGTTGGAATGAGAAATAAAGATGGTTGTGTGTTTTGGAGTTGTGATTTTAATCATAATTACAGACATAAAAACGATTTTGACAGTTTTTGGTGAAAATAATAAGGAAGATCCCCATGTTGACAATGAGTCTGTGGACACACTGTATAAATAGCGAATTTAAAAAAAATTAAATATGCTTTGAATCGATGTAAGAATTCTTGTGCATAGTTACTTATTTATTTTAATTTGAATTTCTCTGCGAATTTTTGCTATAGATTTACTGAATTTCAATTTTCTAAATATTTTTAATGGTTTGAATTTTCCTGAATTTATTTTTGATTTGAGATTTTGAATATTTATGTTTCTTAATTTTTTAAATAAATTATGATTTTTCTGAATGTTTTGAAATTTTTTTTATCTATAGTTTCAGAATTTTTCTTTTTTTTATGAATTCGGCGAAACCAGCTTGGAATTTTTGCATACAGTTGCTAACGTGGATTAACTTCTCCTTAATTTTTATAAATTTTCAAAGAGTTTTGAATCTTTATTTTTGTTTCCTGAATTATTCCAATTTTTATGAAATTTAAGTTTTGTTCTAAATTTTGGGTACAACAATGAATTCTTGTGCATCGTTGGCTAGTTTTTTTAAATTTTTTTTCTGAATTTTCAATATTTTATAATTATTATAATTCAGGCACATACCTTCAACATCACTGTCATCCCTTCCACTAGAAGCTGAACTTGTGTCACCAGCCATCTCTTTGTACACTGAGAAAAATGGACCAAATAGGTTACTTTGCTGTGACGATCTATTTGTGGTTAATAGATTTTTGTTAATGGCAGCAAAATAACTAATAATGGTAAATTGCTCAACTATTAACAGCAGCAAAAACTATCCACTAAAGATCGTTTTGCTGCTACAAATAGTTAGTTTCTTGCGGTTAATAAAAAAATCGGTTAATCTATTTGCTGTAAGCAAGCTTCGATTTGGGACAAATAAATCGTATTACTACGATGTGGATGTTAGTGATAAGTTAGGTGTTCATTTACTGCAACTTAGCTCCTTTTAGCTACAAATAAAAAAGGTTGCTGCTACAAATAAATGAGTAAACTTATTTGCTTTATTATCATTTTAAGAGTGCGTGCTTTCTCAGTGTATGCAGGTAGTTCGTGGGTGTAACATATACAATACCTACAGCTGTGAGTTCGTGTGAATTACGTACCTACTTGTTTTGTTACAATTAGCTTACCGTAATATAAATGGATTATAAGAAACTATTGGAAGCGTGGGGTATGAGTAATTACATAGAAGCCTTCGAAGGTAAGTCAAAACTTTCTTTATTTATAAACAATCGTAAAAGTATGTTTTTTATGTATCTTCACAAAATATGATTAATATTCACTTCAAAGATTTGTTCCTTTCAATTTATGGCGATTTTCTTTTAAAATATAGTACTTACCTACGTAACTCATCATGCCGCTTAATTTTTTTATTCGACGTGCGCATTATCCTTGATACTTGATACTTTGACATATGCCTGGCAGAACCGCCTCTCCCAGAATTTAGTCAACTGTCGTGGGGATGTGCCCCTGGTAGAATCTAACAGGGTTGCATCTCCACAACTTTGTTTCCATTGCGCTGGGCCGCGACATATGCCACAATTAAAAATATAGAATGTTTGCCTCAGTTATTCGATTTTAAATTAATATTTGTCGATTATAATAGCCGTATACGCGCTTACCAAAACAACGGTATTACACATTTTTACTACCTACACTACACCCTACACCTTGATGTCAATACAGTTTTGCTTTGATCTGTAGATGATGGAATTGACGATGAGAGCTTTCCGATATTGGATTCCGAGACGATAGCGAAACTTTTCCCTAAAAGTGGACCACGATTGATATTTAAAAAGAAATACAATGAAATGTTTCCCACTCCTGCTACTTCAAAGGTATGGGTATAATGGGTATTATATACTCATTTTTTTTGTACTAAATCCCCTGACACATTCTCTGCAGCGCTCCGCAATTCATATGTTTTTTTTGGCAACCCTCAGCAGATTTTTATAACAGCCAAAGATAATAATACAATATCTTTGTAACAGCTTAGCTGATTAATAGTGGTAGCACCCATCTAGAGGAGCGCATACCTATACCAAATACACCAATATACAGGGTGTTACATATAAGTATGTAAAAAAAATTGGGTGGTAGAGGGGATCAAAACAAGCACTTTTTCCAAATAAATCGAGGGTCCAGCGCGCTTCGTTTGGGAGCTACCCCCAAAAAAGTGGTGATTTTTTTTGCATCCCCATTTAGGGGTAGCAATTTTTCAAAAATTTTTGCAAAATCGGAAAGGTCATACCCGAAAACCTATTCAAAGACGTGCCACCCGTCTTTGTAACTCTGGTTGCTGAGAAAAAAATTAAAGAAGAAATGCAAATTTCACCACTTTTTTGGGGGTAGCTTCCAAACGAAACGCGTTGAACCCTCGATTTATTTGAAAAAAGTGCTTGTTTTAGTTGTTTTGATCTCCTCTACCACCCAATTTTTTTTTACATACTTATATGTAACACCCTGTATATTTAAGGAACCCAAAATAAAGTATGAAATCACCTTTGATAGGATATGTGATATACACTAGTTCGAATTTTATGATTTCCTCCTTAATGTTAAAATATTATCAAAGGTGACTCGTCAATGCATTTTTGATTGCATTTTAATTTCCGACTTTTCTTGTTGCAGAGTTTTGAAGTAGAATCAAGTGATCTCTATAACTGCAGTACTCCAGCATCAGTGTCAACTTATACCACAAATGAGTCTATTATAACTGATCTAGATGTCAGTTTCGTTCCAGATCAAGAACTATTAGATGTAATAGAAAATATTGGTAATAAAGTCTCTGAAAAACGAAAGATTGACGATCCCTTGGATAATACCCCTTCCTGCAGTAAGAAGCAGCAAACTGGACTTGGAGATATAGATAGTGTTTTCCCGGAGGTTAGTATGTATACAACGTAATGTTACATTAAAAGGGTTAAGTCTTTAACTCTTTAATAGGTGTGTTTCTGTTAAGGTATTCGTTTATTCAAATACGACAATAGATTAGAATAGGTATATTATGATAACGACCCAAGTTTTTAAGAATTGCATTTTTATGAAAGTAACTTTGTTTTGTTGTCAAAGTATAATTAGGTATACCGCCCCTTGTTTGATATTTTAGTGCCCTTTTTTACAGTTTTAAAAATAAATTCCACGTTAATTGAAGAACCGAACATTAATTAATACTTAGACCATATGAACAAATTATATGATATGAAAATTAAAAATGGTTATTGTTACAGGGTTTGGAACGGGTACTACAAAAGTATACAGACGGGAAACTTGTCTTATTAAACCGAAACAAATTAACTAATGATTTACGACAGAAATTGGTAAAAGTGGCTGTAAATGAGCTTTTTGCCAACAAAGGATCAGAGTATGTATACTTACCCGTTTAATTATAACTAAGTACTTTTATTAATTTTTGAATTAAAATCTGTTAATATGTATATTTTTGTAATTACATATTACTATAACACACAAAACAACTTAATTTTCATGCAAAAAATTTTTAAATTATACTTCATTCAGTTAATTATACACTATAGTTTTGCACTTTTGTTTTACAAAAAAATATTACATATTCTGTTATTGAGGCATCATATGAATTTTGTGCCGTGAGGTTAAAGAGTTATCACTCATGCAGTGCAAAAAAAGAGTATAATTAATTGGTATAAGATGTAAAAATTTTATAAGTATGACATTTTTAGTATTAGAGGAAGTACGTTCATGAGAATTGCCGAAGAGATTACCATACTATTTCCTAATGAAAAGTCCGAAACATATTATATACCATATATAGTTACGGAAAAAAAAAAGAGGGGCGTTGGTCCCAAAGGGAAACTATGGTCAAGGTACACAAACGTACGCACTGCACTTCGAAACGCAAATGCATTTAAAGAAAATGAAAATCCCAATAAACCGTCAGAACAAAGCCAAAGCCCAAATAAAGAATTACAGCTCGAGTTTTTAAAGACAGCTACCGAACCTTACCTGAAAATCTTGGCAAATTGGCAAGAAACTTATTCGTTGCGAAGAAAATTGTACCTTAATTCCAACTTGGAAACGATTTTCACAGACTTTCCATGTCTTAGGTTGAGTAGTGGCATTGAACTGGTAAGTAGGTACTTATATTTATTTTTTGCTACTATTTTAATTTTTTTTTCTCTGTTCAGATAGAAACAGATTTCAACCAAAAATTTCCTGATAAAATAGATATTATATATACAACATGGCCTAAAGTGATGAATGCAATTAATAAAGAGGCAGCGGAACGAAATATTTCAATAGCTGAAGTTGCAGGTGTGTTTACATTGAATTTAAAATACAAACCTTAATGTTTTTATCCATAGATCCCAGTTTAAAAGCATTAATTACTTTACCATTCCTATTTCAACCTGTAACGTTGAAAAAAAATAGAAAAGGTGTTAGTTGGAGACCTACAAGGGTGGAAGTGCAGGAGAGCTTTTTTATGCGAATTTCTGTAAGTATACCTACCTACTATACAAGGGCGGTCATATGGGGCTGCCAAGAGGGAGCTATGGCCCCCCCCCCCAAGCCCAACTAAATCCTGTCATACTACGGTTATTCCCCAAGTTTCAACTTAATTCCGAATTTAGCACATTTTCACCTAAATGAGCAATTTTCTATCGTTTTCGTCTCACATCAGTAATCACATTTTTGAAAGCAGCCCCCTCCCCCCTCCTCTGAAGCTGGACATATGACCGCCTTTGCTACTATAGCTAACATTACATGGATATTTTTGTGGTATTTTTTGTTTGCTGTATTTGGCGCAGTTAAACTATCAACAATTTATTTTTAATTGCACATAATATTCCTGCAAAATATGGCTATAATTATATCTTTTCTTTTAGAATTTTGACGAATTACAAGAAAAAAGATCATCCAGACGTCAAAAATTGTCAACGTATGGTATATCGGACCAGCCATATGCTTGCGTAGCGGGGAATTTGGAGGCTGTAAACAACTTCTACATTGTCGTGGTAAATGATGTTGTTTACAAAGTAGACAGTAGCATTAGAGCTCTGGAATTATTATTTAAATTATACCACGCTTTGGATGTGGAGTATCCTGCAGAATCCGAGCATATTTGGCTATTTATCCAAGAGATTGTTTTTAATATAAAATCAAGTAAGTCAAGTCCTGCAACCACTGCGCTTATTACAGACGTACAATACCATATGTAAATAGTATTTTGTTTTTGTTTTTTTGTTAAATTTTTGTATGCGCGTTCTTAATTTTTTACATAATGCCAAAATGTAAGGTATGTTCAACAATATTTCAGAATATTAATTCACTTATAACTCATATGAGAATTCTACATAGGGCTCAAGACAATGATTCCTTTATTTGCGGTGAACCGTTGTGCAATAGAAATTTTTCATCGCTAAGAACTTATAGACAACATCTAAAAGTACATGTTGAATGCGTTCCCATTAATGAACGGAATACGACTGTGGACAATAGTATACTGGCAACAAATTTAGAAGTGCAATGTAACGATTCAAATACTAACGCAAGCATTATTTCTCAACAAATAAATCAACAGATTAATGACATTGAAAATAATCTTGAAAGTACCACTTTCCAAAACAGTTTTTTTGACTTTGCAGACATATTAAAAAAAAATAAGCTATTATTTCTATGCCAAATTTATAATGTAAACACCTTCAATAGGAAGGATGTAGATAACATTATGAATATGGTGTCAAATTTACTTTTAAAACCTCTTGACATGCTTAAAAAATTTTGCGTAAATCTTGATTCGCTGTCAGAACGAGATAAGTTTGAGTTCAAAAAGTATTTTAATGAATTTGAGAATATGTTTAGCAATTTTGAGAGTGACTACTTACGTCTGAAGTACTTAGAACAAGCAGGCTCGTTTGTACCCCCAACGCAACTTATCATTGGACAACATTTGGAGAAATCAGACCCAATTGCCAAAAATTATACAGCACAATTTATTTCATTAAAAGCTATACTACAAAAATTCTTTGCTTTAGATAATGTTTTAGATGACACTTTGACGTATATCAGTTCATTAGAAAAAAAATCAGGTGTATCTAACATAATACAGACAAAATTTTGGAAAGACAAGATTTCATGTTATGATGCACATGATATAGTTTTGCCACTGTTTTTATATTATGATGACTTTGAGGCGGGAAACCCTTTGGGATCACATGCTGGGGTGCATAAAATTGGAACCATTTATTTCTCCATTCCCTGTTTGCCTATATACTATCGAAGTCAGTTAGAGAATATATTTTTAACCCAATTATTTCATTCGTCAGATCTAAAGTCGTTTGGGGAGGCAGTAATGTTTTCAAAACTAGTAGACGAATTAAATGAACTCAAACGTCAAGGTATAAAAGTATCAACCCCTCAGCGTGAAGTACATTTGTATTTTTGTATGACTCTCATCCTAGGAGATAATTTAGGTCTAAATACTATCTTAGGGTTTCAGCAAAGCTTTGTGGCAAATTCTTTTTGTAGATTTTGCAAGTGTCTTCGCACAGAGACACAAAGTTTATTTGAAGAGAATTCCTCATTTCTAAGAAACGTACAAAATTATACAGCCGATGTAGCCGAAAATAATGCATATTTAACCGGTGTAAAGTATTCAACCATTTTAAATAACGTCGACTCCTTTCATGTTACTTTGAATTTTTCTGCAGATTTGCCCCACGATATTTTTGAAGGTGTTGGTGTCTTTATCATGAGCCATTTATTATACGAGTTTGTTTTAGTCGATAAATTTTTTGATAATGATACATTGAACCATAAAATAGAATATTTTAATTTTAATAGAAATGACAACAAGCCTCCTGTAATATCTCTGGAATCAATAAAGAAGAAAATATTGAAAATGTCTGCTTCTGAAATGAAGTGCTTTATTTTAAACTTTTCACTTATGATGGCACATTTAATACCAGAAGGTAATAAACACTGGAATATTTATCTTCTGTTACGAGATGTTCTACACATTGCTCTAAGTTTACGTGTTACACCAGATCAACCAATAAAACTAAAATCATTAATTTACGAATTATGTTTTCAATTCAAGGACTTGTTTTCAGTATTACTAAAACCTAAATTTCATTTTTTGACACATTATCCTACAATTATGGAAAAGATTGGACCATTATCACAAACAAATACACTTAGGTATGAATCTAAACACAGACAATTGAAACTAGCTGCAAACGTCATTTCTTCAAGAGTGAATATTACCCGTTCATTAGCCATTAAACATCAGCTTCAATTGTCATTACGGTTTTCCTCAAATACTGGATTTACCAATTCAATTAATTATTCTAAGAGCTTTAAAAAGTACTCTAGTATCACCGATTTGTACAATAAAAAGTTTGCAAATCATTCAAACGTATCTGAAAATTTAAAAATGTTTGAAGATAACATAATAAGAGTTGGCAGAATCTCTACCAATAGCATAGCTTTTCAAGAAGGTGATATTATTCTTATCGATTTTCAGGATCAACCTACATTTGGCAAAATTAGGGATATTATTATTAACCAAAGTGAGAAGATATGTTTTATATGTGAATTGTTGCATACTATTGGTTTTAATCGTCACTTTTACGCTTTTGAAGTTGAACTTACTGATAGTGTGGCATTGACATATGGCAATGAATTAGAGTGTTATAATACGCATACAATAATAGTTAAAGAGAATAAGCAATTTATTTCATTATACTAACATTATAAAGAATTAAAAAAATTGTTGAATTCTATATATTATAGGTATATAGCGATGTAATGTATCTACTTGTAATTAACATTTTCTTCGTTCACCACACCACCATACTTTAGTTAAGTTATATAAAGTTAAGGTTTTTGTTGTAAAATATTGCTTATTATAGTCAGCAATAAAAAAGATTTACCCAATTTGAATTTTCATTTACCAATCACAATGGAAGTGACATTGTTAGGCGATACCTTTTATTTGAAACAGAATCACAAAGGAGCGCAATACATAGTACGAATATAGGTACCTAACTTTTAACTTGTATTAATTTAATGCTGCAACTGTTCACATTAAGAATCATGGTCCTGCAAGGTCTTAACAAAACTTCTAATTAGTATAAATAAGCAAGGTATTTACTATAAATAGATGCACTTGTTAACCTGAACAAAATGATATTATTACAGGAAATAGTAAAACACTCATCATTAATGAAGTGTTTATTTCTCATAAGAAGCAATTAGTTTAGTAGATACAAATAGGTGCAATATTAACCGCAGCAATGTGTATTGTAATGGGAAATTTAAAAAATGCCTACCATTAATTGAATGTCTACTTGCCATAAATAAGCATATTATTTACTACAAATGGATGCCGTATTAATCATTAATTGAATGTCTACTTGCCATAAATAAGCATATTATTTACTACAAATGGATGCCGTATTAATCGCAGCAAAATGATCTAATAACGGCAAATAACCAAATAGTTGCCGTTAATACAGCGTTTATTTCCCATACATGAGTAGCTTATTTACCGCAAATATAGTAGCAGTTTATATATTTACTACAAATAGATCACCTTATTTGCCACAAATAAACTTTTTGTAGAAGCAAATAAACGCATCTATTAGTGGCAATAAGTCTTTACAGCAAATAGGTGCATCATAGCAAAATGACTCTATTAGTAGCAAGTAGAGGGCTCATTTAAGACCTATTTAATGCAGAAATCTTACTGTGGCTAATATATTTTTGTTTACTGTTAATAGAAATTTTTCTCAGTGTAGTTAACTTAGTGCGTCCCTTAGACGAATCTTCTACAACATATCCTTCCAGATCGCTGTAAGGGTATGCTTCAGTTCGAACTTCTTCTTGTCGAGCTTGTTGATAGTCATCTATAAAAATATAAAGGCGTAATTAAAATACTTCTTAACAATATTATAATCATCTTACCAAAAATTTTGTTTAATACACAGCTTACAGGCCATTTGAGCCACGTCTCCATATCAGGTAACACATTAATGTTTTGCTTTTTTAATGTTGTAGGGTGAACTTAATGGAATATATGCAAACATGTAACTGTGTATGATCTTGATAAAGCCTGCCATTTGTGTTTACTATTGGGTTCATTGTAGCTGTTTTTGATTCCGCCAACCAATAGCCTGGTATGGCTTCTACAGTCATACTGTCGATATCCTTAAAGGGAAGAAATTCTGCCACTACATACTTCCCTTTACATCGAGCAAGTAAATCATGGTTTACTTGTCGATTTATAATTGGTACATTAGATATATCTTCCATTCTATAAATAAAACTTAATAGCTTACTTATTCACCAACAAAACACAGAACAAATAAATTATTAGTTACAAAAACAAAAATTACATACAAAATCTAACTACTGAAAATAAAGGATATTAGTAATGATTTAGTAATTCTGCAACATAACGAGAATCATTTTTTTTTATAAATTGAAGAGCATCATCATTGTCTTGTTTTTTACATCCTTGATCGCATATAGAGATCCTTGAGACAAACGACTTGCAGAATATATTCCTATTTTACTAGAAAAATCTGGTTTACTGTAAAAAGACTCGACCGATTTAAATTTTCTTCCGTAGAAGTATAATTCATTGTCTTTCGTGGCAATAAAATCAACCACACAAATATCTCCACCACTCAAAACAACATAATTATCCGGTTTCTTAACAGATATCTTGAACCCATTTAGAATAATGTATTTATATTGTGGTTCTGTTAGTCCAACAGGGTAAACACTATGAGATTGTGAAGTCTTACTCTTGTGTAATTCTAAGCCTGCTGGAAAGGTGCTTATGATTGCAGAAGAATTACATGCAGTTTTATCTTGAATGCGCCTTACTAATTGTTGCAAGGGTTTATCACGCTTTCGAATTAACTTTTTTAACTCTTGCAATTTATTTTCAAATTTGAAAGCGCTAAATCTATCCAGTGGACCAAACCACATGGCATCGTCAGATAAATGTAACAAACCATGGACGTTGTAAGATACATTATGAGCACCATAAAGAGAAAACTAATTGTGGTGTGTATATAAATAATATTTTTGCGCGATCGGTCATTTCTGACTATTTACCATGGGTGTTTCCATGACAGTAGGTAGAATTTACCAGTTGCTATGATTACGACGACGTCAAAATTACTTACCGATCTAAAAACAGAACAGCAAAAATACTTACCGACGCCTTTTTAAAAATCAACAGTCTTACGTTACATTTAATCTTTAATTATTGTTAGGTACATTAAACGTACAATTTGTGCTGTTGTTTCCTATAGCAAGACGCTCATAAAGTCATAAAGGAAGTGCAAAGCTAGTAAACTACATCAGACACATGCACATTTTTATGAAATTATTAACTTCAATTTTGACAAATAAACTGGTTACCTAGTGATGTACACCATACCACTTCGATCATTTCGATTTATTCTGCTCGTTAATTTCTTAGTGCATATTTATATTGGTTGCATAAATTTAATTTCGATCGCGCAAAAAATGTTATAAGCACGTCGAACGTTAAGGGTTACCGTTCTCTGACAATAATTGGAGTCGTCGCTTCGCTCCTCCTCCAAACAATTGTCTTCGAACGGTAAAAATCCCTTACCGTTCTCCATACTTAATATACTATTTAATACCTGATACTGAAACAGTAAATAATTTGGGACTAACACTTGATAATCAACTTCGGTTTAGAGCTCATGTGAGCAAAATGGTTCAAAATGCGTTCTTGTCTTTAAAATGTATACATAATATTAGACACACTCTTAATAATAAATTAAAAAAGTTACTATGTGAGACTTTAGTTTTGTCAA